CAGCAAAAGCAGACACACCTCGGCCCTTAGACCAGTCTCACCCGCTGGAAAGGCGAGACAGCGGCTCCCACAGCTATTCCAACCGTGTCAGTCATTTGCGATTCTTTTTTTTTTTAAGGAGGAGACTTTGATGGTCTCTGTGGTTTTTTGTTTGTTTTTAATATATTTTTATTGATTTCAGAGAGGAAGGGAGAGGAGGATACAGAAACATCAATGATGAGAGAATCATTGATCGGCTGCCTCCTGTCCACCCCCTCCTGGGGATGGAGCCCACAACCCAGGCATGTGCTCTTGACCAGAATCGAAACCGGGACCCTTCAGTCCGCAGGCTGACGCTCTATCCACTGAGCCGAACCGACTAGAAAGACGATTCTATTTTTTTTAAACTTGTACCAACTGCGGACACGGCTGAACACTTGCAGTCCCTGTGCCAGACGGGGAGGTGGACCCTGCAGCCAGGGGCTGTGCTGGACACGGTGCTCCCGCCTGGCCCCACCCCCACGCACGGCGTCTCTGACAGCCACACACCACCAGGCTGGATTCTTCCAGTCGGTGATGTCAGGATGCGGGCAGTTCCCAATTTATCTTGGCTTTGGAACAGCGATAAATTTTACAGCTAAACCTGGTTTCCATCTCCTCTGTAGCAACAAGTATCTTCAAAACAAAAATTTAGAAGCAACACATATTTTTGCTATCTTTGGACATTTTCCTAGGCCTCTGAAGGTTCCAAGCTCCCCGAGGCTGGAGCAACGAGCTGTTTAGATTCTGTGAGCTGTGAGCTCGGCGTGGACTGGGTGACGCCGAGCAGGAAAAATCAGCCCCGCAGTGAGACAGGGACAGGCCGGCCCAGCCTCCCCCAGAGGGCGCGCCCGCCGCTGGCCCAGGCCGCTGCGGGTGGAGGGCCCCGCCGTCCCAGGCTGCCACCCCACACACCAGTGAAAGGCTCCGGGTGCCAGCAGGTGAAGGAGACAAGCCAAGCCCAGGAGTTTCATTTTCAAACAGGGAGTCCAGAATCTCACCTGGTTGAATGGAAAACCGAGACAAGACAGGACATCGGAACGATGCATGTGAAAGGGAGAGAAAACCCAGTCCCACTGCTCACGATGTTTCTAAAAGGAACCCATAGGGTAAAGGCAGATAAACGAGGCCAAACTGTGTCGTTTCGACCTCCGGCTGAGCATTATCTGGTGATAAGCAGCTCTCCGGGCCAGTGCTTGGCAGATCAGGACGACCGCACCAGCAGGTAGGAAACATGAATGCAGCAGCCCACAGGGTGCCCTAAAACAGAGGAATGGAGTTTCCTCCCTGATCCGGAGACAGAAGACCCTTACAGGACCCAACTGCTGCCGAACCACAGCCCATCCTGGGGGGAAACGTGCACCCCAACAGCAGGAAAGACGCCCTGGGAACGAAGAGGCGCCACACCCGCTCCTCACACCTGGACCTCCCCGCGTCGCCTGCTCCCTGGGAAGGCGGACCCTGGGCGCTGCTTTCGCTCTGGAACCCTGTCCCCATGGGGCTGAAGCCGCGTCCTGGGCCTGCGGGTGGGATGGGCCCTGCTTCTGGCACCCCGTCCCCCAACACACAGCCTGTCTAGCGTCCAGGGAGCCTACACGAAGGGCGGAAGGCCCTGCCAGCTGTCCTCTTACGCAAATACGTCCTTGTAATACCAAACATGTCCTGTCCCAGCGCCGCTGGCTGACCACACCGTGCTGGTCAGAGCAGCCAGCAGGGAGGCCAGGAGGCAGGGACTTCCTAGTGTGGCCACGAGACAGAAGACGCGCAGGAGCTGCGACCAGGGCGACGGGCCGGCACTCTGCAATGGAGGCCCTGGAAACCCTGAGCAAGACAAAGGGACGCCTCTGCAGGTGAGGACTGCAGGTGAGGACGGCAGCTTCTCCAGCCCCGTCCCGCCCCCAGTGCTGCGGACGCTCCTGGCTGCTCCTGGCGGCGGAGCACAGCCTGTGGCGGTGACCAGTCAGCCCAAGGCGGCGAGGGGGATGCGGACCCTGGACCCCAGCCCACTGGGAGCTGGAGGGTGAGGAAGGGGTGAAAGCCCCCGACTTCCCTCCGCCCCATGAGCCCCGAGTTGGGGACCAAAAACCAAGACCACAACCTACGCTCACTGTTTATATTTCAGGAGGGAGGATCCCCCAAATGGTGTGGCAGAGACCATGAAACTTTCAATTACAAAAAAAAAAAGTTCTCTTTGACCCAAAGCAAATCCTGGGGGAGGAGAGGTCACGTGTGAGCACCTCGAGTCTGCAGTTCTGACGAGCAGCCGGGCGTCTTCCCACCACAATCTGGCTTCTGCAATTCCCTGGGAGGGAGGCCCGTCGTGCCCACGGTGGGAGTCCATCTTGTAAGAACTCGCTCAGATCCTGAAGCGATCAACCTCCTCTTCAAGCTGCTCTAGTCGGCGCCAAGTCCGAACCACACTCAGCCAACGTTCCCCGTTCCCCGTGGGATGTTCCCATTTCCAAGGGATTCAGAGGTTCAGGTACATCTCAGGTTTAAATCACCTAACATCCCTTCTTCCTCACATTGCCTTTGTGACTTATTAGTGATGCTATAATAGAAATAAAGAATGACGAAGGGCAACATAAGGGGCAACGGGAGAAACTGGTTACACTATGTGGCAGCTACAGACGACAGCCTGGGAACCGCAGACACTGTCTGACACGCTTATCTCACCTCGGACACACCCCCCGCCCGGGAGTCAGGGTCCACCTGACACGTCCCACGGAGAGGCTGGGCCTGGGCTGAGTGGGGCACGTGAAAAAACGGGCACAGTCTCCAACATCTTTGCCTTTTAATATAAGATTTGTTTTCATCATTTCTGACTGTAACACATTTCTTCTAAAAATAGAGCTCTTTGCTTGTTCTGAAACGTAACTTCCAGGTGGAGGTGAGGGGATGAGGCCACCGTGACTCTGGGGAGACGCTGCCAAGCATGCGTCACGGACACACTTTTCAAGGGGTTCTGGGTGCTCACGGCGAGGAGCTCGTTTCTAACCCACGGCATTGAAGGGCGGGAGAGAACCCCCGAACCCCTTCCGTGCCTGGTGTGAACTCCCCCCGAACACATACCGACCGGAGGAAATCAACCACCGCGCACACGGGACCAGCGGGCAGTGCCCCCCCAGGAGCCGGACAGAGGGACCCCGCACGCCCCAGAAGACCACAGGGTGCCCTTCCCGCACGTGGTTAAGGATTAAGTCACAGACACACAAGACACAGGGACGCAGGGCTGAGGGCTCCACCCCCACCCTGGGCCAGTGCGGCCCTGCATCTACCACCATGGAACTCGCTGGGTTTCTCACAAGACAGACTGGGTCGGATCTCCCTGCCCCCAAGGAGCCTGGTTAGCTCCTGAATCCAAAGATGCCCTTGATGTAGCCAGTGAGGCCGCTCTTGGTCTTCTGCTCCAACTTGTCCTCCAGGGGCGGGAAGGCCACGTGGTTGAGGGCCAGGTCGAAGAACAGAGGCTTGCACGGGATGGGCTGGAAGCCGGGGGGGAAGTGCACGAGGTTGGCCTGCTTGGTGACGAGGGAAGGGTCCAGGCAGAATGTCTCAAACCGTTCAACCAGAGGCTGGAAGGCAAGTCAAAGGGAGGGATCGGGGTGAACCACAGACCAGCAGGGGGACTCAATGTGTGGAGCACCCAGTTCAGGGCCTATCGGTGCGACCTCACTTGGTCCCCACTCACCTCCTGTGCCCCCATTTAAATAGCCGAGGTTAGAGAGGGGCAGGCTGGGACTGGGGTGCATATGGGCCTGCCAGACGCCCAAGTCGGGACTCCCAGCAGGGGTGCTCCTCGCACCAGTCCCTAAGCTTAGGTGGGACCATCGAGATGACACCTGACAAGCCGTGTACAGGCAGCTTCCAGGTTTCCGAGTAAAAGGGAGGGAGCAGGTATGTCCTTAGGATGAGGGGTCCCCTCTACCAATGAGCGCACATCCCTAGTGAGTCAGGAGCCCGCCTTTCACTCCTCGAGAGCCGCCCCGCCCAGGCTCACCGTATTGTCCTTGACTTGGGAGGCAGTCTCTGTTTGCTGGGAGTCACTTGCATCTGAAAGGTCACAGGGATTCAGTAAGGACGGGGACGTAGCAAACTCAGTCACAAGCGACACCTATCACACGTGTGGGCTCCCATCCCAAGAGCAGAGGAGGCCACCCTGTGGGCGAGTCAGCCCTCTCCCTCCTGGGCCCAAACTCTGCTGAGAAGCCGTGCAGAGCAGACGGGAAAGCCCAAACCGGTGCCGCTGGCCCGGGAAGCCCGCACACTGTACGAGACACGACTAGGCAGAAGGGACAGTACGACAGTCCCTCTAGCTTCTTCCACATAATTGGATGCCTTACTGCACAGAGGTGGTGGCGGGGAAAATAAGAATCTTACAGATTAACCAAGACAACCCCTTCAATCCTCACAGAGCAGTGGGGGCGGAGAGGAGCCGCGGGAGGGGCTGTGGGGGAGGAGGCTCACCCAGGATGGCCGCCGCCTGCAGAGAGCACTTCTCCGACCTCACCTGCGTGATGAGGTCCTGCACATCGGGCAGGTCCTGCAACGAACCAGAAACCGCACAGTCATGAGCCGGCGGCCGGAGAAGCACCAAACCACCTGAGCTGGCGATGCCGCTGGTCTCTCAGGGGACTTTAGACTTGTGAGCACTTCTCCCCTTGAGAAACACTAGCCTGGTTCTAACAGGGAACGCTAAGCCATGGATCAGGTAATGATGCCAGGGACTAATGGGACTAATGATGTATTAATAAATGTATTTATTATACACTATAAACGCACCTGCCGTTTTATAGGTAGGACTAAAGCAGACAGGGGCCAAGTAATGTGCCAGCCACACCCCCAGGGGCTGGAAGCTGGGACCCACCCTGGGCGTCTGGCTGGAGCACAAGGCCCTTCTCTTGCCTGGGTCTCCCACTTGGCAGTATTCACAGTGACGCTATACGAGGATCCCACTGAATCCCTCTCGCCTCTATTCCCGGACACTCCCCACCCCACGGGCACGTGAGGGAGGATGGGCGTTTGTAAAACGTTTCTTCTCTCCTGGGAGGAGCCTTCGTACTGGTCTGCCTCCCATCTGGACGACAGCGCACTGTGACGCTGGTCACACTGGTCACCCCTCCTCCGCCCGCACCGTCTTCGCCTTCCCAGCTGCTGCCTTTGCTCCAGGACCCCCGCCCCGCTCTGTCTTCACAGAAGGGCTCCCACATGCAGGTCTTGGGGAGGTGACCAAGGCACAAGCTCTCTGAAGGCAGAGACCAGGTTGATGCTGCAGCCCCACGCCGAGGGCTGTGCTGAGCAAACAGCCGGAGTCTGTGAGTACCAGCGCGTTTATTATAAACCTTCGCTCACTTTTCTAAACAGTCTCTGCTCATAAAATACACACGGATTCCTCGGACCGGCCGGTGCTTCAGGAATCTCTGCATCACCACAGAGTCATGAGCTTAAACAGCCAGCTCTCTTCACATCCGTAAAATAAACCACACCACCCGGCACGCTAGGCCAGTGCACTCGCTTGGACGCGCACCCGATCGTCTGCGGGTCGTGCTGAGATGCCGATTTCCACGCAGAGGCCGGGGGCCTGAGCGCACTCCCAGCGCACGGCCAGGCACACGGTGTGGGGAAAGGCACCTGTCCTCAACTTGGCTGTGTGTGAAAATCACTTTAAAAACCCAAGGCTCATCCCAGATCCCACCCGTTAGAATCAGAATCTCTGGGGGTGCGACCCAGACGTCCACTCTTTCCCCAGAGGCAGTAAATCAAGATCAATCCTGTAGTGTGGGGGCCGGAGAGGGATGTGACTCCAGACATCCGACCGCCACGCGCAGCTGTCTCAGGTTTACTTCATCCAGAGGAATGGCTTCCCTTCTTCGGACCTGGTCCTCCTCAGGCCCGCAGCTCCCATGGCTGACCAGGCAGGCCCACCCCAAGGACAGGCAGCCCCTAGAGACTCACCTTCAGGCTGCTCCTGAAGGCCCCAGCATCGGAACTCACTTCATCTGCATATTTCAGGACTCGGTCATACAGGACGAGGGCTTCGCTCCACTTCTTCACCAGCACGTAGGACTGAGCGATGAAGAAACACCTGCGGGGAGGGAAAGGCACAGGCTGCTGGAGCACAGCTTCCCACGGGCAACGCTTTCCTTGAGTTTAGGCTGAACTTAAACTTTTAAAATTGATTTTAGGGAGAGAGAAAGGAAGGGGGGAGAGGAAGGGGATAGAGGAATGGGGGAGGGGAGAGGGGAGGGGGAGGAGGGGGAGGGGGAGGGGGCAGGGGGAGGGGAGGGGGAGGGACAGGAAGAGGGAGCGGGAGAGGGAGAGGGGGAGGGACAGGGAGGAAGATAGAAACACTGATTTGCCGTTGCATTTATTTATACATTCACTGGTGGTTGATTCTTGTATGTGCCGACAGGAGATCAAACCCACAACCGTGGCCATTCAGGACGAGGCTCTAACCAACGGAGCTGCCCGGCAGGGCTACATGTTCAATTTGGAAACAGGTCTCTTCACCTCAGGATCACTGCCTGGAGACCCCACGTTCTCTGTCCAGGCCTGCGGGGCTGACTGCCCCTTCCCCGCCCAGGGAGGCCAGGGAAGGCCCAATGTAACCCCAGCCGGCACCGCACACCTCGGGTCACATCGCTCATCTCTGCTCACCTGTTTCAGAAACCAAGTCCCAAATCCCCTTCCTCATGGGAACCCGTCTACCGGGACCAGAGCCTGAGGCTGCCGGCCCGACAGGACGAAGGGTCCCCGGGGCCAGGAGGGGCACCCTGGGGAGTCAGAGTGCGGGGGTGTGAGGGCCAGAAAAAGAAGGGCTCCAGGTGGCCATTTTGTTCAGACCCCCTCTTGCTACACAGCCCGCATCCAAGTTCAAATAACACAAGTCGTTTAGAAAAGCGAGAAGCCCGCCTTCCCTCAGCTTCAGCTCAGGCTCCCCCTGGTTCTGCTAACTGACCCTTTTCCGGCACCGTCCCTTTTCCACGGGAGGAGGGGGAGGGGGGAGGGGACGGTTAGTGTGTGTGCTCTCTGGCTGCCCCAAATCACCCAAGAGCAAACAAGGACCCTGGGAACCGCCAGCCACACCTGAGACTTCGCTTGAACATGCTGGGCTGCTGGCCTCTGATCACGGGCAGGTTACCCACAGCCAGCGCCCCATCTCCCGGGCAGAGGCCCGCCCGTCCGTACCTGTAGGCCTTGTACACCAGGGTCCGGAGGCCTATCTCTTTCTGGAAGGCTCTGTCGTCCTCTAAGCCCGGGAGCTGGAGCAGCTCCACCAGATTCTGCACGAGACGCACAAAGAAAGCTCATGAGGAGGTGGCTGCGGACCAATAGACCGGCGAGGTGAAACGAAAGCCTGGGCTTCAATCCAGGGGGAGTCCGAGTCCAGTGACCTGGCAGCAGCCACACCTGTCACCTCCATCGTCTCTGACACCGAGGGCCACCTGCCCTTTCCGACCCAGTGCAGACCGACCCCGAGAGCCTTCTCAGAGCAGCTCGGCCAGAGGGGACGGCTCCGCCCTGCACCTTCCTTCCAGAGCGGCCGCTCGTCTGGCGTCCACACGGACGCCTGTGTGTGTGAATGTCTCATGTTGCTCCCTGAGAAGCTCCCAGGGGCCGCGGCGGTGTGGCCTTGGTCTCAGGACGCGCCACAGCACGTGGGCGAGGACCACACGCAGGCAAAGTGCTCGGTGACCCCTTGGGCTCCCGGTCTTTGCACATCAACACGTCTGAGTACCAGGGCACAGCCCTGGCCGGTGGCTCTGCTGGTTGGAGCATTTGTCCCCAACACCAAAAGGCGGCGGGTTCAATTCCCGGTTGGGGCACAAGCGGGAGGCGGCTGATAGATGTTTCTCTCTCTCTACACCCCCTTCCTCTCTCGAAAATCATTTTTTAAAAATAGTAAATAAATAAATAAATACTGAGGGCACAGTCACTGAAGTGGTACAACAAGACCTCTCTCTCCTGTCTTTTACCAAGACCCTCACAGCTGCTGGTTGTCACCACCATTTCACTATGTAAAGCGAAGGCACTTGGTGTCCAGCACATGCCCAGGCCAGGCCCGTGCCCCGTCCTCCAGGTCACCTGCAGAATGATGTCGTAGAGCCGGATCAGGTCCTGGGGCCGGGCCGAGCGCTTGCTGTCATCCTCCGGCTGCGGCTGCAGCAGGGCCCTCTGCAGCCCTTTCGCCATGTTCTCGTTGCGCTTGATGGCCGTGGACAGCTTGATGTAAGTCAGGTAGCTGGAATGCAGCACATGTCAGCTCAGGTTACGCCCAGGACGCTGACGTTCTGAGAAGAACCTCAGGTCGGGGGGCCTGGGGGAAGCGTGGGGGGAGGGCCTGTCCTCAAGCCCTCAGTGCTGGCTGCCGCTCAGGGGCAAACAGGCAGGGGCCAGTCTGAGACCACTTGACGGAATTTATTTTAGTCTCAGGTACAGTCTCCGTTTCTTCCTTTAAGGAGCGCAGAACTACTAGTCCCAGAGGCATCCTCACGAAGACCACGGAGAGCAAGCCCGTTCCTGGACCAGGACTGGCTCACGCCTGGCCCACACTCACACTACAGCAAGCATGTCCAACGAGGCATGCGGCCCGCCGGCTGCGGGGGTGACGTGCTTGCACTACAGGGAGGCATGTTTCCATGACGGCTTCCCTCAGAGCGTGAGGGACGTCGCTCCGGATGGCTGTGCAGGTGGCATGTCCCGGAGGCTGTGCCTGGGGCCTGCTCACTTTAATGAACCACCCGGTGAGGCCCTTTAGTATCTGGGTTAACAGGGAGCCATTTAGAACCTGGTAAGAAGTGTTCAGGCCTCGAGGTTCCCATCCTCCTCCGGCAGAAGCCGGGAGGCATCCTGGGAGAGGACACCGAGGCCTGGGCCGGGCACAGGCACAGCTACGTCAGGGACTCCGTAATGAAGCGGGGACCACAGGCCTGTCAGTCTGAGTGCTGACTGGCCTCCTAGCCTCCTTCACCCACTCGGCTTCCGGAACAAGAGCAGCCAGGGATGTTCTGGGGATCCGACCTGCCCAAGACAAAACCCTACAAGACTGGAGCCGGGTCCACGGTTCCAATCTATTCCTGGAAGAACAGAGCCGGAACGCCTGCCTACAGAGAAGCCCAAAGCTGACAAGCCCCGTGCAGCACGCAGAGCTGCCACCAGACAACCACACGCTTCACAGGAGGGGCGAATCAGACATTTAAACTCTAACAAGACAGAAGAGGTCAAAACCAAGAGGGAAAACAAGCAACTTAGAAGAACCTGACTTTGCAGGGAGCAGAAAACCTAAAAACATGATTATTAATAACCCACGAGAGACAGAGGAGACTTCCTGATCACAAAATTAGAATGAGAGACTGACTTTTAAAATCAACACTCAGAGAACACAATCAGCCCTTAGAAATGGGTGAGGAGGGAAACAACAAAGCCACACAGGAGTCGGAGGGGAGGGAAGTATCCTCACTCCCTGGGTGAGGAGGGAAACAACACACACAGATCACACTGCTCTCGTTCCAATGATGCATTCACAGCGCTTGCAAGCAAACGTCACAGCTCACCTGTGCAGGTACTGAAGGTTAGAGACCTTCCCCGACTCCCCGTCCAGGCTGAAATCTCGCTGTTTCTGCAGAAAGTGAAAGAGGCACAGATCACACAGCTGGCCTTCCCCCGGGCTCTGGCACCTCATTCCATGTGTGGCCCCAGCGCCCTGGAAGGCTCCTCAAACAGCAGCTCTACTGGCCATGTGCTCGGCCACAGGGTCACTCAGTGGCCACTGGCACCTGGAAACGGGACTTGAGTGAGAGGAGAGAATTCAGAGTAAAGCCAGCAAGACTTCCTCTCCTGAGCCAGACCCCGGCACTAACGCAGGGCAGACAGCCCACATCCACGGCTCCAGTTAGGGTCTGGGCCTTCGACCCGAGTTGGACCCCTTGTGTTGTCAGCGCCTGCCTTGTGTGCTTGGCTGAATAATAACCCCAAAGGTGTCCACATCCAAACTCCAGAACCTGCGAAGCGGTTCTCTCACATGGCGGGAGAGGCATGAAGAGGTGGTGAAGTTAAGAGATTTTTGATTAGCCTAGAATATCGGGGCTCCAATGCAATCCAGGCTCCTTATAAGCGGGAGGCAGGGGAGTTGGTGATACAGTGAGACGGAGGCAGAGGGCAGAGGTCAGAGAGAGCTTTGAAGATGGAGGAAGGGACCATGAGCCGAGGAATGCAGGTGGCTTCTAGAAGCCAGAACATGCATTCTCAAGAAAACTAGAAGTGAGTTCTCCCCTAGGATCCTCCGAGCTTCCAAAAGGAACCCATTTAGACTTCCAGCGTCCAGAACTGTTAAGATAACAAATCTGTGTGGTGAAAGCCGCCGAGTGTAAGTTAATGCTACAGTAGCAATGGGGCACGAATGCACCTTGGTGTCACCATATTCCTATCTGGGAGGTGTCCCTCGACTGCTGTGAATTCCAGGTGAAGATGGAGGCTGGGGCTCTGTATGTACCTGTTCAGTGCATGAAGGGAAGGGCAAAAGCAGCTTCATGGGAAAGGGAGACAGGTGGCCACAGCCTAACACATATTTATTGAACATTTTATACCCAACGTACTGTGACATATGCTGAAGAAAATATATTGTTGCTTTTATGATGCTTACAATCTTGAGGAAAATAAAACGAAAAGGTAAATATAAAACAACACACCAAATGTTAAATGGCAATTCTTGATTAACTATCGAACATTTAGATACGTAGAAAATGAAGAGGTCTTTGTGGGCGAGGAGGGTGTAGCAGGCTTCTCAGAGGTGGTGAGCTGTGATCTGGCCGTTGCAAACAGGCGTGTGTGGAGTGTGAGAAGGGAGCGGAAGGATGAGCAGGTGGAGGAGGGGAAGGCGTGCACGAGGTGGGAGAGGCATGTGAAGGTGACGGTGAGCAGACAGCGGAGGCAGAGGGCTCCGAGGGAAGCAGCACAGTTCAGGACTGGAAAGAGGCTGGGACCAGCGGCGGGGAAGGCTCTACACCGGCTCAGGGAGTCGGCACTGTGCCTGCGAGGCCACGGTCTCTAAAGTGCGGTGCACACAACCTGACGAGTCCGGACTAAGGAGAAAACTAGATCTTCTTTTTCTAATTAAAAAATTTTTTAATGCATTTTATATATTACAAATCAGCTGACTAATAAGGTATGTAATTTACAAATAAACACATCAGCGGTAAATGCTCCATGTGACTCATGGGCGGCCACCAGCATAAACGTTTGGAGCCCCTGCTCTAGCCAGAGAGGAATCGCGGCACTGATTAGAAACAGGAGCGGCGGACCAGCGGCGAGAGAACTGCACAGGGAGAGGAAGCAGGGTGTTTGGAGACGGGAAGGAAGAGGCACCATGGTTGTGAGGTTTCCCAGACGCTGAATGAACCGCAGTGATTTTATTAAAAAAGGGCGCGCTGGAGAGGTCTCCCTGGAGAGATGAATTTGAGAGCAAAGGCCTAGCAGGTAATAGCGGAAACCATGAGGAGAAGCAGGAGAGAGGGAACTCCTCAGCCTGATGGAGCCCAGAGGCTTCTGTTGCTTGTCAGCCGAGCTCCCCCCAAAACAACAGTGGCTGAGAGTCAATGCACTCAGTCCCCCGGGACCCCACCTGGGCATGGGCCCCAGAGGAGGAGCAAGAGCCCGCCCTCAGCTGCTGGTCCTACCTGGTCCGGCTTCAGCTCTTCCCGAACGGCCTGGATGGCGTCCCGACACTCGCTGAGCATGGATTCAAACAGGCGCTCCTTGGTCTCTTCACTCTCAGCCTGAACAAAGGCAGAATGAGGCATTGACTCTCCTCTGAGTAAGCACAGTGTTCTGATGGGGTGGGGGGTGGGGGGTGGGGGGGTGTAACAGCGCTTCGATTCCCCCCATTACACAACCAATAAAAAGTGCCCCAACCAGAGAGCTTTCAGCTGTCACTATTCTGCACCACGTAAGCTCTTTCTGGGAGTCATCGTCACTCTTTTGTGGAAACAGGAATTCTATGTATAGAAAGTGCGCATACTGAGAAGCACCCGTCCAACCACCTGAAACTGTCCGTCAGGCAACAGATGCTTCAAACTGTTTCCGATCACAGAACCTCTGCACTTCCCTCCAACGCTCCCCCTCTGCTCAGCCTGCACCGGCCTCCCTGGGGGGCCTTACGGACCAGATCTGGGCGCTGCTCCTTCACACTGAAGCAGGCCAGAGGTTTCTTTCCCTTTTTCCTTCCAGAACAAACGGCCTTGAACCCCACTGGGTGCCAGCAGAATTACCCCTCCGAACGTAACCAACAGACGTGCTGACACTGGATTGCGTTTAGGTACGAGCAAGTGGGTAACTGTACTGAGCGACACCCATCAGACATGGTTTCTCTTGCACATCACACCGGTTCTCTTCAGCACCGAGGTGCTGCCCTCAGTCCACACGGCTCTGCTGAGAGCCTTTCTGGGCAGACAAGGTGGACAAGCCTGCTCTCCACGACAGTCTCTCACAGCACAGGGCGTCACCCACTGCTCGCCAGCTGGGGAAAGGGAAGGTGACTCATTAACTGAATGAATACCTGCCACACCACATTACTGTCTAAAGAATCCGACTGAGCGGGTGGGAACGGGCGAAAGAAAGGCAGAAAGAGGTGACTTGTGTTACTGGCAGACCCACTGTGACACGAAAACATCAACATTCCATTATCATGTTTGATTTCCACAGAAACTAACAGCCGACTGACCTCTGAGAAAGCCCAAAAGAAAAGCCGGTACTGCCCACTCCTGTAAGAGATGGTTGGGAGGGGTTTAGAGAAAAATCTTTTCTTCTCTTAAGAGCGCTTATGTTTTTCCTAGTTTTCAGTGAGTTACCCAACATAAATCAAACATACTTTCTATTTATAAGTCACTTGACTCCCCTGTTGTCCCCTGACTTGGGAACAACCGGGGACAGTCCTTCTATAAATCTACACAGGCCAGCACGGCCACCAGCCACTCGCTGGGACCTAGAGCAGCCTGTCCAATGGAGGGTCAGCCATGACGCAAACGCCCGTACGCCGTCCATACGGCAGGTGGTGGCCACAGGTGACTACTGAGCACCTGAAGTTCTCAGCAACTTAAACTGAGCCACGTGTTCCAGCGGCTGCGGTCTGCACAGTGGGGCTCTGGAGAAACACACTTCATACAAAGCACTCGCCAGCACCTCAGGTTACAGTCTCTTTGTAACTATTTAATCCAACTTGCTGGCCAGTTTTCTTTATATATATATATATATATATACACACACACACACACACACACTAGAGGCCCAATGCACAAAATTTGTGCAAGGGGCTCGGCCCTCGCAGCCCCAGCTTTGTCTGTAAGGTTGTCCGGACAGTCGTTCCACTGTTCGGCTGATTTGCATATTACGCTTTTATTATTATAGATATATTTTACTGATTTTTTACAGAGAGGAAGGGAGAGGGATAGAGAGTTAGAAACACCGATGAGAGAGAAACATCGATCAGCTGCCTCCTGCACACCCCCCACTGGGAATGTGCCCGCAACCAAGGTACATGCCCTTGACCAGAATCGAACCCGGGACCCTTCAGTCTGCAGGCCGATGCTCTATCCACTGAGCCAAACCAGTCAGGGCGCTGGCCAGTTTTCTAAGTAAAACTCCTGTGGAACGGGGCAGCCGTACAATCGTTTAATTGGAGTAAGATTTGTGAATAGACTTGGCAGCAACCACACCGAGCAGAGCCGCCTCCTCAGCAGCGGGGTGAGCTCCCGCTCTAGTCCGATACCAGGCAACCCAGCAATTACGCCACCAACACCCTTTTAAAGACGGGCAGGGTTCGCGGTTGGGACAATGGGTGTGTAAGTCAGAAAAGGGTCACCTTCGCTTTACCAGCTACACAGGCTCCGTCGCCCTCCTGAAGGGAGGGTCACAGAGAAAATGAAAACACCGCTGAGCTCTTCACTGCACGGGTCCCTCCACTCCCTGGGGCTGAGCAGAGCGAGGCGCCCCCTGGGACTGTTAGGAAGGGGGAGACCACAACGAAGGGGAGAGCCGATCTGAGGGGAGGACGCCGGTCAGCTGGGCACAGTGACCGGAGACCACTCCTCTCTGGGCGGGCAAATGTCTCCGAACAGGAGGCTTTCAGCATGTTTCATTTTTACACTTTTATTCTATGAACCTATCTTGGAGGCTAAGATCATCTGAGAGGACAAAGGAACAAGAAAGGCCTCTCTACACGGAGAGCGGGGTCCTCAGAACACACATGCAGACCTCCCAGGTCTGCGGCTGAACCAACAGGTGCTCCGAGCACGTGGCAACTCCCTGCCTAGGAACGAGGTGGGCCTGACCCAGAGCCACCGCAGGCCCAGGAGGGTTACTCACTAGCCCTGTGCGTATATTCCAGATCAACTTCAAGCGTCCCAGGACGTGGCTTGAGGTCCTCTCCTGGCTCACTGGTACAGAGCAAACCGGCTGCTGTGTGTCCTGAACTAGTGACACCCCCCCCCCCGCCCCCGCTATTAAAAACAGACCGTTTTCACTTGCCTACAAAAACTGCTGGAAGGTGGTGGTGTGACTAAGAGACAAACAAGGCAAGTCTGACCACATTCCCCACCACACCCACAGGAGAACCAGGGGACGGAACCACACCTCACCCAGCCCACTGAGGTCTAGAGAAAACCAGGGATATCTGGTAAAGGGGGATTTTAAAAGAGCAGAATAAATGGTCTCCTTTCCACTCAAACATTAAAATATTATCCGAGATGAAGAGCCCTTATCTCCAAGGTGTAAAATGTCCTCACTCGGTCTGGTTTAGCAGAAGCTGAATTATTATACAAATAATAACCACAGCTGAGAGTCATCTAACCTGCAGCTGTGAGACCTGCCCTCCCTCCCAAACAGCTGCCTCACAATCGGCCACAGGGACAAGTCCGAGGTGACCCATGTGACTGGAACCCAAGAGAGGTAAGTTATAAAGGGAGACGACATGAAAGACGTGAAGATTTAAAGCTTGGCTGAGACTCAGGATTTTGCAACTGGATTTTGGCAGCGGATTCACTCTCAGCTCCAGTCTTTTCAGTCCAATGTCTCGTCTCCCTGAATTATTTCTTCCTCCCATGCTTTTCAGTAAGCTGCTGTTTCAGTACTGAAGTCCTAAAAGCCTTGCCAAGCAAGCAGTGAACGGGGACCCCTGAATTCTGCATCCCAGCTCCTGAGGGTGGCAAACACCAGTGCGGGTAGGTCAGGAGACACCGAGATGAAGAGCCCTCATCTCCAAGGTGTGAAATGTCCTCACTTGGTCTAGTTTAGCCGAAGCTGAATTATTATACAAATAAGGCAAAGGCCTCCCCAACTACAGGTTTTTAGTCTCTAATTATGTGTAAAAAACAGGAGAAAGACAAGTTCTCCCATGTGGGAGACCTGCCTCCCCCACTAACCGGCCGCATGGAGATGCCTTTGCCAAGGAGCTGGGTTCACCCCCGGCCGTGTCTACTCGAGCCTCTCCCAGGCCCAGATGCTGCTGTGGGCGCTGAGTGACATACAGCAGTTACTCACCAAAGCCAAGGACACGGTCCTGTTCCCAGCCCCGTGACTCTAACAGGACATGTGGGAAAGGCCAAGGAACATGAGGGGAGCCAAAGGGCCTGATTGAAAGGCCAGGCTCCCCTCTCTCTGTGGTTGAAAGTGACAGCTCTGAGGCCCGTTTGCCATCTGTAAACGAGCGTTGCCCACCCTGTGGGGTTGAAAGACAACAGGCAGAAGCACTCAGCAGAGTGTCTGGGACATTAAGGAAGACAATCACCCTCCTCTGCTCCCCTGTGGGGTCTCTGGCCAGGTGACCACCAGGCATTTTTTTAAGTTTTATGAAATGATTGATAAGAACATGAAAAATCTTTACAAAATGTGGATAAACACAGGATATAAAATCAGATCTCAGTGTAATTCCAACAAGTAAAAAGTATACCTCATGAATACAAGGAAGACTTGTACGCTGGTTTCCTTTTTATTATAGTGAAATATCAATGAAAGTGAGTGGAATGTGAGACAGATCAATCTCTTTAAAACATCATTTATATTTTCTAAACCTTAAGCTGAATAATTTTTAAAACTTAATAAATGTTAGCTTTCCTTGTCCTTTATCTGATATATGTCTGTGGCTCGGTCCTAGGAGCCCCCATTGAATTTGCCCTGTGGGCCTCCCCCACCCCATTCGAGCCAGAACTCCTGCCTGGCTGTCACCGACGGCAGTTCTTTTCTTCCCGCATGTGTCACTTTAAAACAAAACCATTAACCCGATCACATAAGCTAAACGGCGGCTGCTCCCAGAGCCCTAGTCCAGAAGAGACACTGCCACACTCCAGTGCAAGGAAATGCTCTCAAAGTGTTTGTCAGTCTCCTAGTTTAAGGGGGAAAAACTTCCTAGCCCTGTTCTAGTCTTCTGTCCTTCAGCAAATAAAGGAAAACTCGAGAGGCAACATGTAACGCAGAGGCACAAAGAGATTCCACACTGAAAGCTGTCCTCAGTCCAAGTAGCTCTTTTGGAACAAGTCACTGGGAAGACCGGAGGCTTCAAACAGCCCATGGGAACAACTGACAAAGCGCCGACATGCAAGTCACTCGGGGTCCCGGCTGCGGGGAGTCTCAGGAAGGGAACACCAGGGCCTTGGGAGGAGGCGGACGTGCTGAGCGGCCTGGCTTTTCTTTCTAAAGATGCTCTTCGCTGCATATGGAGGAGGAGGTCCAAAAAGGGCCTAATCACTGTGCAAACCAAGAGCCCAGGTTCTCATCCCCTGAAACCCACTTGGTTGTTTACACCCACAAACAGGCCACAATTATGTCAGCCAGCAGCTCTGCATGAGTATTACACAGACCGCACACCAACAAGATATTCTGGTTTAGCGAGGCTCTCCTTAGAAAGCCCAGGAACAGGAGGCTGCCCTTCAGGCTGGAAGGCGAGGGGAGAGGTCAGAGAGAGGAAAGCGACAGTGAAGCCGCTGCTCCACCTGCTGGGCCCAAAGCCACCCCTACCTGCGGCCGGCCTCTCCACTGCTGCCAGGTGTATGCTGATGGCTGTCGCATCAGTGTCTTTGCCCTTTACACATAATATCTCCTCTATAAACTTAGCTTTTAAAGTAATTTTATTCAAGAGGGTGCATCTTAAGACCGTTATCAAATACCCAACAGCATTAAGGTAAGTTTTTGTAATAGATACAGAGGCAGAGAAGCATCGAACAGACTGTCAAACTACAGCGGAAAGGCTGGGGAGGGTTGGGGGTTGGGGGGTGAGGGTAAGAGATCAACCGAAGGACTTGTATGCATGCATATAAGCATAACCAATGGACGCAAGACACTGGGAGGGGGGTGAGGGCATGTGCCGGGGGGTAGGGGAGGCCAGGGTAAGGTCAATTGGGGAAAAAAAAGGAGACATATGTACTACTATTTGTAATACTTTAAACAATAATAAGAAGAAAGATAAGCTTTTGTTTTGTGACTTTAAACACACAAACACACACCGCTTCAGAAACGTGCAGGAGAGAGGAGGGTGCTCCCTACCTGAGCGATGGCCGCCTCGTTGTCAGCCAATCCCAGTAAAAAGATCCGCACTTTGTCGATCTTGACGGGGACCGTCCTCCCCCTCCATTCCACTTCGCTCATGGTGGCCGCCTGTTTGGCTCGAGTCTGAGTAATCAATGCCTAGAAAGTAGTATCAGAAAGTTAAAGCTTTAACTGATGGATATGAGTGACCAAGGGGAAATAAATAGAAATTAGTATGTGTCTCTTTCTATAGCCACCATATTATACCTTATAGACTACACACACATTTATATTTGAATTCCTCCTGGGATAATGTATCTTGGCGCACAGAAACTCAAATACTAAAAAGACATCATAGAAGGTTAAAAAGACCATCACTGAGTTCTGATAAGGGGGTAAAAAGAGGAAAGCATACCTGTCATACACAAGCAGAAATGTAAATTAGTAGAAACATAAAATATTTATCAATATGAATCAAAAGCTTCTAAAATATTTCATTACACTTTTAGAAATTTATCCTAAGGAAATAATTAAGAATACGTACAAAAACTGGGGACATAGATATTCATGGTAATACTGTTTAGCACTTAGTAACACTGAAGTGGTGAAATAAAACAGGCCTAAAGGAGTACCAGGTGGCCATCAAAAGATGATGTAGAAGGTATTTACTGAAGGGGAAAACCACATGTGACATATTGTAAAAGAATGTTACTAAACTGCACACTGAGACCCCATTTTTAAAACATACGCCTTTTTCCTACACATACAAAAGTCTGTGTGTGGCAACGCACGTGACCTTATTTCCCCCACCTTTTGTATTTCCTACTTTGTCTATGAGCCTATATTGCTTAGAAAATAAATGTAACAGGCAAAGAACTTGAATACTTAAAAATACTAAAAGTTTTTTGCTTAAAAAAGATAGAAATATGCATATACTAATAGCAATTATATTGGGTGATGGGATTATGGATTACTTTTTTTCTGGACTTTTTAAAACCAAAGACTTTTCACAAAAAACGTACACACTAGATTACCTCCAATTTTTCAGCCAGGAGCCCCTCGGTGCCCCCAGACCTGAGTCTCATCTGCATGAGTTCATTGATAGCTGACTGGTCCCCTGAGAACGAGAGGAAAACGGTTAGGGGACTGGTCTGTTCTCTCCAAAACCACGAGGTTCAACGCCCACAGGAAGGCGCGCTCCCTGCGCCAGTGCCTGCAGTGACTCCAGTCCTTGCCCGGAGCTCGTGGGGCACAGGAGACGCAGGGTGGAAGCCAAGCAAGGCACGGCCTCCTGCGATTCTGAGCTGAACTGACTGACAGTCCCACCTTTTCGGAGATGGACCACCCGCCCCCACCGGGGCTCGCCGCGGCCCCTCACCGATGTTGTAGGCACAGTAGCGGATGTTGGGCGAGATCTCCTCCACGCGCTGGTTGTACAGCACGGCCTGCTCCTCTGTGAAAGCGCTGGCGAGCTTCTCGTAGATAGTTCTGCGAGGGAAGAGCACCGGTCTCACAGCAGCCTGATTTTATTTTAAATATATTTTATTGATTTTTTACAGAGAGGAAGGGAGAAGGGGAGGGATAGAGAGTTAGAAACATCGATGAGAGAGAAACATCGATTCAGCTGCTTCCTGCACACTCCCTACTGGGGATGTGCCCGCAACCAAGGTACATGCCCTTGACTGGAATCGAACCTGGGACCCTTCAGTCCAGAGGCCGACGCTCTATCCATTGAGCCAAACCGGTCAGGGCGAGCAGCAGCCTTATTTTAACACAATGAGCTCACAAGCAACACGCTGGCTAAAAACAAAGCACAGCAATTTGAGGCCTTCTCCCAGCTACCAGCGGGGGACGACCTAGAGTGAAACTGGCCAGAGCCTTGGAGCGGAGGACTTACTTGCACTTGTTAAAAGCCTCGATGGCAGCTTTCCACTCCTGATGCTCAAACCGCAGCATCCCTGCGAGGTACGCCGTGTAAGCCTGGAGCGGCAGGGAAAGAGAAACTGCTTCAGCGCCCGAGCACCAGTGTAAGAGCTCGACCTCCTCTATGTCCTGCCAACTTGGGTTTCCAGAACACAGATGTTCAGGCTGACTTTAAAAGAGAACAACTTCTCACTAATCCAATGTGATACACAGGTAATTTGTTATGATTCATTTACTTCCCAGGAGAGAACTTCAAAATAAAGGAATTGGTTGTCTTCATTTTACTTAAAACCAGCTTCTGGGCTATAATGTAAGTATCAAAAGGTGAATGTAAACTTGCAATATCCATCTCTTTTAAATAAATGCATTTTTAAAAATTACTATTTTGTGAATGCTTCCAAATAGATGAAAAGTTTACATTTACATATCAAAAACAAACACGAGCTTTCTTTCAAAGTGAGGGCCAATTATTAAAAACCAAAGCTCAAAAACAAGAGATGCCGCCCTGGCTGGGTGGCTCGGGTGGTTGGGGCGTCATCTCATGCACCAAAGGCTGCAGGTGTGGGTCCCCGTCAGGGCACATACCCAGGTTGTGGTTTGATCCCCGGTCAGGATGTATATGGGAAGCAACCGATCACTTTCACATGTTTCTCTCTCTTCCACGCCCCCTCCCTTCCTCTCTCTCTAAAATCCATAAACATATCCTCAGGTGAGGACTAAAAAGAGATACCAACTTCACCTTGAAAAACCAAAACCAGTTTTTTTCCTCTCCTGACCATCCATGTGTAACCTAGGAACCCTGTTCTGTGCACCTGTGTTCTGTGGAGTCACGTCTCCCGTCTGCACAATAAAGCAAAGCTGAGGCTAAGACACTAACCTGAGCCTCCAACTTGGTCTTGGCATCCACGCGATTGCTCTCACACAAGCGCTCCAACTCCTCTGCATGCTTCACGGCTTTGCGGAGGCGAGACAACAAGTGGAACCGTTTTCGGGGTTCAGTGTTGGCTTCCTGTTTGAGCTGCATGGCATAGCTCCAGGCTCTTTCAGCATCCATCAGAACCAGCAGCAAGTATCTAAACCAGAGACAGGAGCACAGACTCAGGCATTCTCCGAGGCACCACCTGCGGCCTCGCAACCTCTCCCGCGCTCCCTGGCTCTCCTCCTGACTACTCTTCTCACAGCATCAACCATGACTTCAAAATCCGCATCTTGGACTGAGGGTCCCTGACTCAGGCTCCTCCTCGGGTTTCTTTTTTTTTTTCCTAAATATATTTTTATTGATTTCAGGGTGGAAGAGAGAGGGAGAGATAGAAACATCAATGATGAGAATCATTGATCGGCTGCCTCCTTCACGCCCCCTACTGGGGATGGAGCCCACAACCTGGGCACGTGTCCTTGACCGGAATCGAACCCGGGACCCTTCAGTCTGCAGGCCGACGCTCTATCCACTGAGCCAAACCAGCCAGGACCACCTCAGGTTTTTAACCAACACCAGATGTTGTTTTTTTTTAATATATTTTATTGATTTCTTACAGAGAGGAAGGGAGAGGGATAGAGAGTTAGAAACATCGATGAGAGAGAGAAACATTGATCAGCTGCCGCCTGCACACCTCTTACTGGGGATGTGCCCGCAACCAAGGTACATGCCCTTGACCCGAATCAAACCTGGGACCTTTCAGTCCACAGGCCGATGCTCTATCCACTGAGCCAAACCAGTTAGGGCAACACCAGATACTTCTTATTGAAAAGCCTGCTGCCACCTCAATGGCAAACCTAGACTGACCCCTCCCAAATTTCAGCAAATAGAGACTGTCCGAGCACACAGTCTGGCCTCATCTTTGAATCCACACCTCTCTTATCCCAACCCAGTTAGAAACCAGAGCATTAGGAGGCGATACATTGAGCCCGGTGGGTGTGGCTCAGTGGACTGACATCATCCCATTCACAGGAAACTTCTTTGTAAAGGGCCCAATATTTCAGACTCTGTAGACCATATGGTCTCTGTCACAATTACTCTGTTATGGTAGCACAAAGCAGCTGGGAACAATACTGAGCGAATGATGTGGCTGTGTTCCAATAAAACTTTATTTATAAGGACAGGTGGCAGGAGGACCAATCTGGCCCACAGGCTGCAGGCTGAGGAACTGACCTGAGGCCTCCAGTACCTGTGCCTGGCAGGTTACTCCTCAGCAGCATGACGCAGGGTGTACGCAGCACTGACACACGGGGCTCATCTGTAGTAACGTGTGTGCGGCCAGATTCCATCTAAGATCTACTGACTGAAGCAAGCACTTCAACACTAAGTTTGCATTCCAGAAACCTTTCCCAGCACCGGTCAGATTTTAATCACCGACTTTAACGTTACCATCCACCACAGTTTTTGAACAAGTTCTTGAACCTTATTACAACACAGCAATAGTAAAAACGCCCACTCCGCAGAGCTGCTAAAAAGTCACATGAGCCCTCGCGGGTTTGGCTCAGTGGAAGAGCGGTGGCCTGCGGACTGAAGGGTCCCAGGTTCGATTCCGGTCAAGGGCGCGTGCCCAGGTTGTGGGCTCGGTCCCTAGTAGGGGGCATGCAGGAGGCAGCCGATCAATGGTTCTCTCTCATCATTGATGTTTCTTTCTCTCCCTCTCCCTTCCTCTCTGAAATCAATAAAAAATATATTTTAAAAAATCACACGAGACAATGAAAGAGTCTGGCACAATGTCTGGCACATTGTGAAAAGTACTTAGCACCCAGCACTGCGTAGTCAGTACCTGTTATCAGTCAGAAGATCTTCAGTTACTTTTTTCCCTGTGAACTTGTGTCTGTTCCCCATCTTGAAGTTGAGTGTTTTCCGGAGACGCCTTTGTCTACGGGAACAGTAGCCCCTGTAAGAAACCACAAACAAGTCACTCAGACACCCTGACAGTACATTCAACAGTAGGTTCTATAATGAGGTAAGGCCACAGGTTGAACATGTTCTACTTATGGTTTCTATAGCCACCACACAGCGTCTTGCAAACATTCGATGAAGTAAAACAAGCAGGGCATTCTGACTGGCATCACAGAAGACAGAGAGACAGAGGACACAGTACCCATTCTCAAAGGACCCAGCCTCTAGTTGGGAGGGTCACGCAGATAAAATGGCAACCAAGAAAACACATGCAAGCCGGATGTAAAGGACACGGTCGTCATCCTCTCCTCGCTGACACTGCGCTGGAGTGGGCTGATGATGGGTTTTGAAAGAATGAGCAGGATGCCTGTCTCACTAATATAAACTCCTTTAGTGCAAAGATGATTTTATTTTCAAACTTCGAAGCACAGTGCCTAACATATAGATGCTCAGTAAAAGTATTTTGACTAAATTAGTGTAAAAATATATACAAAATTTTACCAACCCTTAATCAAATAATATAGCGCATAATTTACAATACAGAATAATATTTAAATGATACTATAGTATCTTAGTCCTGAAGCTACCAGGGTATAGCTTATTAAAAAAAATAATAGTCTGGCTGAATCTATAAACTAGATCTTCTCCCTCAATTCATAATTTTTGCTTTAATTATCACTTATCCTTTTACATAAAAATCAAATGGAACACTCATACTTTATGGGGAGAAATATAATTTGCTAAGAATTTTCTGGCAATTTGGATACATTTATCATGATCCTTAAAAATGTTCATACTCCCTGAACCAACAGTTCACTTCTATACTATTCTATACTCAAGAAGTAATCAATACAACGGGGTTTGAACAGATTCATGGCAACAAAAATTTTAAACCTAAAAAACTGGCAATTATATATGTAACCAATTCCAAGGAAAAGGCAAATAAATTATTGTATACATATACACTGGGTAATATTGCAACTTATAAGAATCATGTGTGTAGAACATTTTTATAGGCAAGGAGAAATACATACAATATAATATTCAGTCAAAAGGCAGGATACACATTTGTATATACAATATGAGCAAGCTTATGAAAAAGTGCATAGAAAAGGACTAGAAAACCAAATACACTATTTTGTGGGCACACATATACAAATGTATTTATGTATTTAAAGACATAAAAAATGACTGAAAGGTACACACTGATGTCAATTTTATGTTATGTATATTTTTACCACCAAAAAGCCAATTAAAATGCAATATTGGCCTGGCCAATATTGGCTCAGCGGTTGAGCATCGACCTATAATCAAGAGGTAACCAGTTTGATTCCCAGGCAGGGTCACATGCCTGGGTTGCGGCTTGATCCCCACTAGGGGGTGTGCAGGAGGCAGCCGATAGATGTTTCTCTCTCATCGATGTTTCTCTCTCTCCCTCTCCCTTCCCCTCTCTACAATAAATAAAAACATATTGTTTTAAAAAATGCAATACTGAATAAAATAACTAGAAAAAAAACACAAGTTGGAACAGAGCAGAAAGGTGACCACTGCAATACATGTGTGATGAGTTAATTATACTATCAACCCTACATTTGTTTTTGGAAATTTTCTTAATATCTAAAAACAAATCAAGTGATAAAAATCTGCTGTTTAACTCTTCAGTGGCTCCCGACACCTAGACGAACACCTGAAGGAGCTTAGCCTCCAGGGCCCTCCCCACTCTGTCCTGCCGCTCCCCACCTTGCTCCTCTGCCCCAGCCTGCTGCCCTGCACCATAAAGCTGATTCCTCAGAAGCTGAGATGAGTGTTTCTGTAGCACTTTTAACAATCAGGTAGCCAAAGCCTGTATCTACAATATAGAAACAGTTGGATATTTCTGCTTTCAAAGGACTGAACTGTATTACACATTAGGCATCTATTGTATTTTTTAGACTCATATTAAATGTTTTTCAACTTGCAGGCTGTTATAAAAAGTTTACCAATGAATCACAATGCCAGAAATTCCCCTTCTATGCTTAAAATACTGTAAAGCTTTGCATTTAACCAACACTACACAATATGACTAAGTTAAAAAAAATGATGACCATTAACTGCTTATTAATTTCAGCAGAAGCCTCCAATGTATCTGCACTATTGTGAGGCAAAATGGATAAAAAGATCGGCTCTTTTTATTCATAATAAAACTTTAAATTTGAAAATGAAGTATCTTTTGAGGATCCAATGTAAGTTCAGAGCTAGACTTTCTAGGTATACTTTCTGATATCACCAAGTAGGATATTAACAAGGGCAAGCTAAGCTGAAAATTCCACAATGACTTGCACACGATACTAACCTGTACCTCTGAAAATCTCCATGCCGCAAGCCGTGCTGCTGCTGGGATTCCTTAATAATCTGGAGAACTAGAGCCACGGTTAAGGAAAAGCTTACAATGGCAGGAACCCAAATAGATCAAAACATGTCCCCATTAGTCTGTATTTGTAGCAAACCACAGCAGATTACACATTTCTGAAATGCTTTAGCCAGTGAAACCATTTTCAATAGCTGTCTTGCCGGAGGACAGGGCTAAGGGCATAGAAAAGCGGATTGCCTTCACTATTTCTCCTTTCACACTGAAAAAGGCGGCCATTGCTAGCCATTACGGATTACTGAACCCCAACAGCGTCAGGAAGGCTGCTGGATTCTAAGTGCTGACTGTGAGTGGGCTGGTTCCCACTGATTTACACCTGGACCCAGTCATGTCCGCATTCCAGCAGGTTCGGGCCGGAAGTGACGTGTATCCCTCCCCATTGGCATCGCCTCCTCCACCTGCCAAACCGAACTTTCCTCACCAGCTGTGATGCTGCACGCGCCTCGGATTAGCACCTGCCAACCAAACCAGGCCCCCGTTTGCATAGAGAGACTGAAGTTTTTATTTTAAAAGAACAAGCCCTGGCCAAACTCTCCTTTTTAAGAATCGTAAAATAGTTTAAGGTCGTGTACCCAACTTTAGAAAAGTCCAATGTCCTTTATCTACAACTTTAGTTTTCTTTCCCCAGTTTCCTCAACGCTTCTCTATGGCTGTATTTTTTTTAAAAAATACTAAAAATTAAAAGGAATATTTTAATAACCAAAAAGGGACGAGGAGGTACCAGGTCCGGAGTAAAATCAAGGAGTCCTAAAACCCATCTGGAATCGCACCTCCAGTTCAAAAACTCCAACCCCCTGAAAACGTAATTATGTCCAGACGTCAAGCTCCTTGTGTTATTTCAGAGACTCCGCTACCTGCTTCGCGCTTGTTACTTCGTTTCAAAAAGCCACACGCTGGTGTCACCAGCACTCGGGTGCGATCACGCGCGATGCAGACTGGAAACCCACTCCTCCGGCGCGTCTGCACGTGACAGAAAACGCCCACCGACCTATTAAGAAAGCTTCGCCGCGACGACTCGCGTTCACAACAGGCCACACGCTTTCCCTCGGAGCATCAAGCTTTAAGCTTTGCCTTCGCACCCAGGACATCAAGCTGCGATTCCTACTCCCCATTCCCCGACCGCCCGCCCGCCCGCCGCCCGATCGACACGTAGTCATTCCCCGTCGGGCCCGATTACTCCGGGATACTCTCCAAGCTCAGGCTGTCCCCGAACTCCTTGTTGGCCTTCGATCCGGCCGAAGGGCGCTCGTTTTCCTTATTTTCTTCTCCTCCCGCACCGCGTCCACCGCCGCTACTGCCGCTGCCGCCGCCGCCGCCGCCACCGGGAACCTGTTTCTCAGCAGCCATCTTGCCCCAGTGCCGCAGAGCAGGACGGGATAGAGGAGGCGAGACGACCGCGGCGGGAGAGAGCGGGCCCTGCCAGGCAGAGGCTGATGGGATAGCGGCGGACTCCCCTCGCCCTCCCGGCCCTCAGGAGGCAGCCACTTGTTGCAGGGCCTCTGGGGTGGGCTCGGACGAGTCTTTACAATATGATGCTCACTGAGAGAAGCCACGCAAAAGGCTGTCTATTGTAGAGGTCCATTTACATGCAATGTGCAGAGTAGGCAATTCTATAGAGACAGAAAGTAGTGGTGGCCTCCGGCTGAGAGTGGGGGTGGAGATTGGAGACTAATGGCGAAAAGGGTAGAGGTTTTTGGGGGGAGGAAAGAAAATGTTCCAAAATGGATTGTGGCGGTTGTACGATTCTGGATGTAATTAAAAACAAAGACTTTAAATGGGTAAATTGCACGGTCTGTGAAATATATTTCAATAAAAAATATTTTAAAGTCAGATTGGGTTAGTCAAAACTTTCCAGTGGCTCCTCATTTTTCTCAGACTAGAGCTACAAGCAACCGTCCTTACAATGGAAACAGCCCTGCATGCTATGCCTCTTACGTCCTCTCCCGCCAATCTCCTTCCAGTCCATTCAGCACAGTCACACCAGCCTCCTTGCTTAGGGGCCCAGGCCGGAGCCTGCTGCAGGGCCGGCACTGGCTGTCCATCTGGAATGCTCTTCTCCTAGACATCTACTGATCTAGCTGCCTCACTTTGTTCAAGTCTTTTTTTTTATAGATTTTTTTTTTTATTTCAGAGGAAGGAAGACGGAGAGAGAGAGATAGAAACATCATTGATGGGAGACAATCATTGATCAGCTGCCTCCTGCATGCTCCACACTGGGGATGGAGCCCGCAACCTGGGCATGTGCCCTGGCTGGGAATTGCACCGTGACCTCCTGATTCATAGGACCATGCTCAACCACTGAGCCACCTGGGCTTTACTCGTTCAAATCTTTACTCAAATGCCACCTTCCTAATGAGGTCTGCCTGACCACTCCATTTTAGATTGCACCATTACCACTACCCCCGTCCTCCCAAATTCTCTTATTCTAATCTACTTTGCCTGCAAATACTTATCAACTTGGACTACATTAATAATTGGCTTGAGTTATGTTGTGTATTGTGCATCTCCCCTGCTAGAAAGGATGCTCACGGAGGGCCTTGGTCTTTGCAGAACTCACTGGTACATCCCAAGGACCCAGAACAATGCCAGGAGTGGAGTAGGTGCTTAATAAATACTGAATAAATGAATGACAAGCATCTCATAAACACGAACTGTTATTATTTTCCTATTCAATTAAAAGGCAGGCAGAGCAGGGGTGTGGATAAGGTTTTCCTACCCACAGAACAGGTAGCTGGGTTCCTGAGGCTGAGATCCTGGGGGCTGGAGGGAAGAGGGAAAAGAATGGTCTTGACTGAGAGCCAACAAACAGGGCAGGGGAAGGAGAAGCAGAGATCAAGCTACAGAGGTGGGAGGTGGTGCTTTTCACACCCAGAGAACGGGGGGGGGGGGGGGGGCTAAATTCTATAGAAACAGTAATAGCTGCATGTCACAAATGCTTGATGACTAATACACCAAAATTGAAAACAAACATCTAAGTTTTATTGCAACTTAAACGCCCTCCTAGCCATCTAGGCAAAGGCTGCTGGTGCATGGAACTCTGCTACTTTATATATTTATTTAAATATATTTTTATTGATTTCTGAGAGGATGGGAGAGGGAGAGATGAGAAACATCATTCATGAGAGAGAATCATTGAATGGTTGCCTCCCGCATGCCCCCCACCGGGGATCAGCCGCTGCAACCCAGGCATGTCCTTGACCAGGAATGGAACTGTGACCTCCTGGTTCATAGGTTGATGCTCAACCACTGAGCCACATGGGCCAGCTCTGCTACTTTATATTGAAGTTTTCCCTGTTTGGATACCTGACTAGCGTTAGAAGAAAGAGAAGCATTTGATTCATTCGGATTCAACCACTGGCTTCGGGCCTCTCAGACACCAGAGCCCTCTGCGAAGGTGTTATGTTCCCATTTTACAGCTGAGGACATTGAGGTATCACGCCAAGGACGGAGGCTGACACACAGGAGATGCTCAGTAAATACTGTTTTTGGATTGAAGTGGAGGGAGAAACGTTCAATAAGCAGATCCCTCATCCCCGCCGAGGCTCTCTGGGGTCTCTGAGCTCTCGGGTGAGGGTCGGTGGGAAGAGGCGTGGAGTACCCCGCAGGGCAGGCCAACTCCGGAAACCCGGGGCCCCCCATCTGCCTCCGCCCCTTGTCTCCGCCCCACCACCCCCTCTGAGCACCCGCCGGGAACTCTTCCGAGGAGCCCCCAGTGCGGAGTGCGGGGAGGTTCGGTCCCCCCACCGGGCTCCAGGGAAGCACAGGCGCCGCGCACACAGGTCCCGGCAGCGCCACACACACACACACACACACACACACACACACACACACACACACACGCAGGCCCCGGCGACCGTTCCCTCCCTCCAGTGTTTGCGGGGAGGTCAGTTCGCCGCTCAGCCCGGCACAGCCCGGACCCCGACGACACCAGAGGGTCCCGCGCCCCGGGGCTGGGCTGACCGTGCCTCCGCCAGGACCCGCCAGGGCCACTCGGCAGCCCTGGGGGCACCCCACCCCTTCAGCGGCTCGCTCCTCCCCCTGGTCCCGCGCCCCTGGCTCCGGCTCCAGCCGCGGCGAAGCTCACTCGCCTGCAGCCCCGGGAGGGAGCCGCGCCGGGCGCTGCAGCCGCGGGAGCCGCCGGAGCTGCGCTCGCCCGGACTCAGACGGCTGCGGGGCGCCGGGGCAGCCTCGGGGGCGGCCGCACCATGAATGACTTCGGGGGGCCCTTGGGCCGAGGACGCGAGCCAGGCGGGCGGCGGGGGGCAGCTTGGCAGCCCGGAGGCGGTCATCGTGCCCATGCTCTTCGCGCTCATCTTTCCTCGTGGGCACCGTGGCCAACAGCCTTGGTGCTGGTCGGTGCTGCTTCCGCAGCGGCCGGGCGGTCAGCACCACCAACCTGTTCATCCTCAACCTGGGCGTGGCCGACCTGAGCTTCATCGTGTGCTGCGTGCCCTTCCAGGCCACCATCTACACCCTGGACGGCTGGGTGTTCGGCTCCCTGCTCTGCAAGGCCGTGCACTTCCTCATCTTCCTCACCATGCACGCCAGCAGCTTCACGCTGGCCGCCGTCTCGCTGGACAGGTCAGCGCGCGCCCTGGCACCCCCAGGGCCGGCCACTGCGCAGGGGCGGGACTCGAGGGTCAAGGAAAGAGACAGAGAGGATAGAAAAGGACTCCACCACCCAGAGGGGCCGGGAGGGAGGGAAAGACAGCAGGCAGGCGTGCTGGCGAGAGAGGAGTAATTAGGGGGGGTGAGGGGGGCCGCAGTGTCCCTCTACCAGCTGCGTCCTTGGCGCTGCAGCCTGGAGACCTCAGCTCTCCAGCGCCGCCGGCAGCCAGCAAAGCGCAGCGTTTGGGGTACAGCGCGTTTTTTCCGTGCTTGGTCTCGCTTGAGGCTCAATGACCCCGTGAGATTGGGGTGGGAGGGGTGACTGTGCCCACTGCACAGACGAGGGAGGTCGAGGGGTTCAGAGTCGCCCATCCAGTACTTGTGTGCGGGAAGCCAGCGCTCGTGGCGTCAAACTCAGCCTCGAAGCCGCAGTTTGCTCGGCGCCCTGGACTCTGGCCCGGACTTGGGAATTTGGGTCCTTCGTGGGGGCCCATGCCACGCCCGAGGTCCCCTGGCTTGGTCCCACCCCTTCGGCACCCCACCTCCAGGCCCAGGTCAAGGGCAGGGAGAGGAACGCGCAGAACTCGCCCGCCCCCTAAGCCAGAGCGTGGAGGAAAGGCGGGTCTGACCACGGTCTCTCCTCGCTCCCCTTGGCCCCCACGCGCTGCCCCTCTCCCCTGGGAAGGGAGCGAGGTGAGCCCGCCTTCCACACGCGCCTCCAGTTCCACTGAGCGCGGAGTGTCGGTTCTGGAGCGCTGGTGCGGCCCACGGCGCGCCGGCTTCCCAAAGGAGATTGCTCGCCTGCCGTTCCCAGGCTGTCTCCTCAGGCGCCTGCCTGGACCCACCACCTGGGGCATCGTCACTGGTGGGTAGTAGCCTCCCGGTGCCCCCAGCCGGTTCCGACTCCACCCGGGTCGTAGCCCCGGAAAGAGCAGATGAGTGGCCTCTACGTGCGCCTTTCCTGCTGCTGGGTCGCCCCACATCTCGACGCTGCTGGGTCACCCCACATCTCGACGCTGCTGGGTCGCGCATTGAGGACCGTCCTGAAGAGCGGGTGTGGGGCCCGAGGTGCAAAGGTCCTGGGCTGAAGGCGCAAATCCGCTCGCTCCGCTGACATCTCCCTTCCCGGCTGACCCGCAGGTATCTGGCCATCCGCTATCCGCTGCGCTCCCGCGAACTGCGCACGCCTCGCAACGCGCTGGGGGCCATCGGGCTCATCTGGGGGCTGTCGTTGCTCTTCTCGGGGCCCTACCTGAGTTACTACCGCCAGTCGCGGCTGGCGAACCTGACCGTGTGCCACCCGGCGTGGAGCGCGCCCCGACGCCGCGCCATGGACCTCTGCACCTTTGTCTTCAGCTACCTGCTGCCCCTGCTGGTGCTCGGCCTGACCTACGCGCGCACGCTGCGCTCCCTCTGGCGCGCGGTCGACCCCGGGGCTGCGGGCTCGGGCGCCCGGCGCGCCAAGCGCAAGGTGACGCGCATGATCGTCGTGGTGGCCGCGCTGTTCAGCCTCTGCTGGCTGCCCCACCACGCGATCATCCTCTGCGTGTGGTTCGGCCGCTTTCCCCTCACGCGCGCCACCTACGTGCTGCGCATCCTCTCACACCTGGTCACCCTCCCACGACGCTTGCTATGTCGGAGGCTTCAAATGAGGGGAAAGACGATCCACCCACATGGCCTGCCTTTGTTGTTATCTGACTCTGTGGCAGCACTGGGCTTACTACCTCTCATTTCCCGAGAAGGCATTATCCGTGCTGATCACGGAGGTAAGAGGGCTGACAAACTTAACAACCACGCTCCAATA